CACCTTAATCCCAATCTCAATCCGTAGTCTGATCACAGTATAACCAGTAGTGGCACTCGCTCTTTTGTTTCACGTTCGCGCCGATCCGTACTGCGCATCCAACATGTTTTTATTCTGACCAATCACAGGATTTTTGTACGTGTGTTAGTGCAAAGTCGGTGTGACATTGAAAAATTCGCAGTGTTGACGAATAACGCGTAAATACTTTTATATGTTGGAGCAAGTAATTACATTAATTACTTTTATTAGAACTTTTTTTTATAGGCCATTTCCATTTACAATAAATAAGGGTGCTTTCACATGGAGCGTAAGTTGCGTAGCGTAACCTGCGTATCGCCAATCACAGGACTAGTTCAACGGAATTATTGAAACGGTTCTATCAGCATGACCCTGGGATTGGTGATACGCAGGTTACGCTACGCAAGTTACGCTCCATGTGAAAGCACCTTCAAAAATTCTATTCCCTATTCCTATTGCATGTTGCCTGGCATTGTGTGATAGGCTTTAGATACAGAATTGATGCCCTGTATGGACTCCCACTGCTCAAATAAAGGCAAACGCTCAGTCTAGATATATTATGTCTATGGTCAAGGCGTTCCGCGATTTTCTGCATACACCGTTCCGCTCTTTGAGTTTGTACCCTAGGACCGTAACCTAACCTAACCTAACCTTTATGATTATTGTGCTACTCCGGTGGCCGGTCTCATTGCTCTCGGATTCTCTTTGATGTGAACAAGGAGTAATTCTACAGAAATCAGAAAACGTATTGGTTGGTACTTTTTGCTTATATTTCGTAAGAAACGATTGTTAGTGACAATTACATATTCGCTATGTAACAAACAGGTAGTACGTAAAATATCATGAAGCGGAAACAATTTGACGAGTTCTTGGGGGGAAACCAGACGCTCCCACATGAGGTGTCTATTATGAATTTTGTTTCTTCACGAGCCCATGAAATTTCTGCGATGACATCTTTGATAGGTATGCCACAATGCTTATTTTAATCTGGCCATACAAGACATTATATAGTAAGAAAAAGGGATAAGTGATTTTAGACTTTTTTTATGAAAATAAGAAACTTTTTACAGTTTTGCATAATGCTAATGAACGAAAGTAAAACTTAATTTTATGAAAAGTTTTTAAGTGTAATTTACGTTTTAATTAAACTTCCCTCAATTTAAGATAAAAGTTACTACAGTATCTGACGAAATAAATATGGAATTTTGAATTTTCAAAGATTTCAAAATTAAAAATATTTATGTTCTTTAAAGAGAGCTTTAGCACAAAAATTCTGTAACATTTTATCACTTGGCGAATATTAAAACTCTATAAATATCACTGTTGAAACACATTATGTTTATGGAGTAGAAGTAAATCATATACAATGTAATTAGGTACCTTTTCAATTTTATAATTATATAATATTTATACGTATTAACAATATATATATTTATAATAATGTCATAGTGATTCTATTCTATGTGAACGAATCAAATCGATCGTTATGTGAAATACTTGATAAAATTAATATGTTACAGAGCATCCTAAGCAAAACAGGTTAATATTTCAAAAACTTCCTGTATATATGCGTAGACGCGTTATGTCTCATAATGTCAAAAGAGTGCCGCGTAGATTACGAGAGGCGCATTTGGCGCAAATGAAAAAGTCGGAGGACACCAAAAACTTAAAACCATCTCGAAAATGTCGTAGGAGAACGCGTAATTTACATTCGGAATTTAATCGCAGACAATGCAACAAAGTCTGGTTGGAAACGCACATCTGGCACGCAAAACGTTTTCACATGATCGACAAATGGGGATACAGAATTGCGAGTCATCCAAACGACAAATGTTTTAGAGCTAACTATCGAGCCGCCGCAAAATATTGCCTCCTACAAGATATTTCTTACTACACTTGCGTTGAAATAACAGGGAGAGAAAGTTTATTGAAGACAACTTTGAGAGCACACTGCAATCCGTCAACGTTAACTTTTGCAGCGAAAAGATATATCAGTGGTCATAGGGAAGGTACTCTGATGTTTTTCAAGAAAGATGGTTATCCACGCTTTCCTATTGGTAATGTCAGCTTTATCTGGCAACCAATTAAATCGGACAACCAAACTGATGTTAAAACTATTTGGATCTGGGTACATCCTGCTTTTTACGAGGATTTTCTTAGTGAGATTATGTCAAGTTTTGAATTTAAGAGAAACAATGCTGAACAAGATGCAGCTAATGCTATTCATAGTCCGAATCACTTGTACACGAATGATGCAGGTTGTAAAATGATTGTATTAAGGAACGTATTGAATAGATTTCGGCTTTCTGGGCCATTGACTCTAAATGTCTTGATGAAAGCATTACGATTGCCGGCCTTAAATAAATTAGACCTTTGCCCAGGTAACACTGTTTTAAAAGAAAACAATAGTTCGTCAAGTAGTGAAATGATAGATACGAGAAAAGTGTCACTAGACAACAACGTTGTGCAACCTACAGAGAAGATGGTGATTGACGAAATGAGTGAAGAAAATACATCAATTTCCAAACATTTGAGTACAAAACTTAATAAAAACACATGGTATATTGATTACTATACAAAAGAAGAAAATATGGAGGCTTTCAAGGTGCAAGAAAAATTATGGCAAGTACTGAAGTCTTCAGGATCGCCAAATCATTTGCCAGCAAATATGATTGTTGGAGCGACCGTCTTAGATCCACGCTTTTGCTTGCCTGAGAAAAGAACAAAATGTAATACTGAAGTAACGGAAACATCTCGATTAAGTCCAATTGATTGGCCAATAACGTGTTCCAATTATTCTTCTATTTGGGATGCAGAAATACGTGATATTGTAAGCAGTTCTTGTATGTCCACGAGCATAATTAATAAGATCAGAGGTGGATGTCTTGTACCTGGTGTGTCAAATGACCAACATTTTAATGAGGATATTATAGCAAAAATACCTATACTTCTTATTCAGAAACCTGGAACTATGACAGGTAATAACTGCATAATTTTAAATAATAGAGGAAAGCCCCCTATTATGAGATAGGATTCTAATATGGGATAGCTGGGTTTCTGTTAAATTAATAGGCATCAGTTGATTGCACCATGAATTTATTGCCCTTGGAGCGAGATCTGTTTAGTGGAAAATTGATTGTTAGATTATATAATCGTTGCGAAAAAAAGATTTGTGATTGAATTTTGGTGTCAAAAACCTGCTATCTATATTAGAACCTGTCTCATAATAAAGGACTGTTCTCCCCTAAACAAGAGTTTTACCCCCTAATTATTTAGAATACTCACAGCTATTTTTATATCGGAAAAAATGTTTAAAACAAAAATTTACAATTTTAGGATGGAAATACAATGTGTACTAAATTTTTATTGCATACATTTTTCTTGAGATATTAATGTGTCATCTTTGTTATCTCTTATGATATAATAAAATTATTCTATAATTTTAAGTAAAATCATAATGACAGTAATAGCTTATGAGATATTTTACATTTTATTTGAACATTAATTATGTAATATGTTGTGTCATAAAATATTTTTTAACAACAAGTTTTAATTTTATGCAGAATAATGAGCTGACTGTATCCGATGTAAGAAATTGAAAGTGACTTTCGTGTGACCCTCAAACGACTATCCAAGGTCACATCAGTGGCATCATCTTATCTCTCCTTTCAAATAACTTTTGTTCGATGCATGTTTCTCTAAAATTATTTATTTTCAAGTTATTCAGGTTTATCAAGTTAAATGACTCACCTTGTATATTAAAGTTACATATTGACAATATTTTATATTTTGTTTTAACGCAAGATATGTAATTATTTTATAAATTGCTAATTTTTTATATAATTTTACGATGTTTTAATATTTATTTTACAAAATAATTAGAAAATTTTAATTACAATTATAAAAAAATTATATGGTGCACAAAAAAAAATATAAATACTGACAATTTCTAAGAAATGCATACGATAAAAAAATGTATGCATCGTATTTCCCTCCTAAAGCTATGGACACTTCTTTAAAAACTTTTATAATAGAAAACGATTTTTTTTTTAATTAAGACTATACATATATTAAAAAAGCTTATTCTATATAGAAATTTATGAAACTTTTACTCAGTTTTTTTTCTTTGATTACGACTTATAATTAAGAACGCAATGATGTATGTTGACAGGTTTTGGTTCTGGTATAGATATTATTGTACCAGCCAGATGGGCAATGCCGTTTTGGCTTGCATTCTTAATGCAATGTGCGAGAGTAGGTGCGCTTCGAGAATCAAAATCGATAGCCTTTGAAAGTTTGAATCTAGATACACCTGAGATTAACGAACCTGATAGTCCTGCGTATACGAGGGAGGCATTAATTACAAAAGAGGAATTGACTAAGAAATATTTCCGTTATCCGCCAAATAGAAGAGTTAATTTTGTCAAGCTTAGAATTTCTAGCCCTTTCTTTTGCGACTGGGTAAATTTGACAAAAGAATGGTCGGGCAACGAGGTCTTTTATGTTTTAAGGAATCGCGAACTCTTGTTACTTTTACAAGCGGGTATTTGTCCTGCCAAAAATAGAAATATCAAATTACTTACCCAAAGTACGCAATCGGATATTCCAAATTTAGATGATTATAAAAATTGTTTGGTACGCGTCCAGATATCTATGATAAGAAAAGGGGCACCAAAGAAATTCGCCATCATATGCATGCCGACATTGGAAGATTTAAAGAAGTTCGAAAACAATAAGAAATGTCTTGGGCCAATAGAGAAATGTCACAATGATCCGAAGGAAAAAACTCGTAAAACATTACGAAAGAATCATTTGATACTTTTAAAACGTCTTAGGCGGCAAAGAGTTCGATGGAATCAAGAGTTGAAAAACAATACGTTGAAATTACTGTACTGTACTAAATCTAAACAGTTGAATGAAGAACACGCGTCCGTTTCATCTCGTCAGAAAATTATATCAGATCACTCGGTAAAAATGTCGGAATTGTATCTTCCAAACTGCACAGGAGTCCGTTATTCTTGCGATAGAGAAGTTATGGGATATATAATACTAGGGGACTTTTCGTTCAGCCAAGCAAAGGGCATCGGCATCGGATATGTCGCATTGCCTTCACTACTCAGAATGATTGATGAAAAGTCTAACATCGTTCTTGTCAGAAATATTCAAACACGACAATACAGATTAGCAAAATTAAATATATTGGGTGTTTGATATAGCGTATTGTATATTTTATATATTTTGTATATACAATGTTCAAAACTTGATACATATGTATTTTTGTAGATCTTTTATGAAATATATGAAATATACTTGAATGAAATGCGTTTTCGAATGAAATGTGTTGTTCAATACAAAAGAGGATATATTTTTTACCCTTATTTATTATAATTACTATAATTATAGTAATAATTTTTTGAGTCAACGAACGATAAATTGAACAATAATAATCATCGGTTGGTCGTTTTACTTTATATAATCGGTTTTATTTAGAATTTTGTTATATTTCACAGTATCAAAAGAGCACTATGTATTATAACAGATACAATTGATCTATATTTAAAAAATATATATTGTAAAAAGATAGCTCTTATCATTAATAAATAATGATAAACAAAAGGTACCAATAAGTTGTACGATCGGTAGTTCCATTCATCGAGATGGGATCTACAAGAAAATACATTGATTACTACATATTGATTTTAAGAGATACACAGAGAGTGACAAGAGAGAACTTTTGTTTTCTCCCAAAGTTTATCTCAAATAATTGATTTCTTTACAATATATAATATGGATGTTATATGTATATCTATAGTAAAAATAATTATTGTATTTAATTAAGTATGTATATGTAAAATATCACTTATCATATATTTGTAGTATTAATAGAGCGCTTTGAATTAATATAAATTATAATTTCAAAATGATAATGCAGCAGAACAGAATAGGCAGTTTTTTTTAAATAATATATATTGAACTTACTTATATTACATTGTCAGTCAATTTACCAGCCGTAGCCGTAACCTGATCCGTAGCCGTAACCTGATCCGTAGCCGTAACTGTAAGGGTGGTAGTGAGAGTAGTAATTATGATTATGGGGATAACTGTGGTAATGATAATGATAATCGGGGTGACTGTGATAATGGGGGTATCCATATCCATATCCATATCCGCCGTATCCGCCGTATCCACCGTATCCGCCGTATCCGCCGTAGCCATGTCTAAGGAAAAGATTACAATATTTAATCGAAACGTCCTTGACACTTTTGTCCTAATAACTTAAGTGGACTTTCGATGGTTCGACAAACTTACGAAATCGAATTAGCATCACGAAAATTGAATTAACAGCAATGATGGACTTTCGACGTATTTTTCTGACGGTAAAAATGTTAAATTTTTATACGCGTTAATTGATGTTAATTTAATTGGCGCAATCGGATAATTAGCTGAATATCCGTAAGTTGAGTTGTTGTCGCAAGTTGAATCGACAAGAACTCGCAAACTTGGACAAGTTGAATTTAAGAAGCAAAAAATATATAAACTTTCTAATTGTTCAACTTAATAGTTAAATAAATAATTAAATAATTAAATAATTCAGTGAATATTAATAACCGGAGTGAAATGTGACACAGGAATTTTCTCAAAATTTAACTTTCTTTTACCTCCTCGGAGGTCAACGATGAGTTTTGGGATATTCTGTGCATTTTGTGAATCTATTGTGATGTCACTAGTTTTTGTTATGGGGGATATAAGTAACTTAATTTGCGTGTGGATTATATTTTCAATGAAAAATGAACTTTATAAGAGATAAGTAACCCACACAGAACCTAAGATTTATTAGACGTACATACAACCTTCATAACTCCATGTCAGGTTGTACGTATGTATGTACGTCCAATAGATCTTATGTTCCGTGTGGGCGATAAGCAAACTGCTCGCAATATCATGATGACTACATATTGGCAGTACATTGCTCAATTATTGCAACAGATCTGATATCGTCTGTGTCCACATTAAACTCGTGTTTTGCCAACAAAGCCTATCGGTATATCTACTTTAACAGCAAACTATGTCAGTAGAACAGAATTCATCATTTCATAAGCATTTAACACGGAATCATTTAAATGGTTACAAAACAGCAGATCTATTCACTTATTTCTGCAATCAACTATATTCTATTATAACAAATTCTGTTCATAATTCTACCGACCAAATTTATAGCAGAGCGCTTTTAAAATCTATTCTCAACAAGATTAGGTATAATCTAGGGGGAAAATTGATGAAGATTTTTAATTGTTATTAATCCGCAAGTCAAGCAAGGAATCGTATGTAATCGCGTGTGGTGGTTGTATATGAAACGATCGATCTATTTTGATGTAGTTTAAGAAAAATATAGCCAGGCAGCACACAATATTTATAAAATATGTATAAAATATTTTTAAAAACTGTTTAAAATATTTCTGATAAATCTTTATGATTTGTTCAATCTAAGACTAAAAAAATATCTATAAATATTTATAAGCTATTGAGATAAATCTAAACATTTCATACATATATTAATATATTTTGTTGGACAATCAAAATAATTGTGTAGGAACACTTAAAACGATAAAAAGCTATAATATTTTTACATTCCACAGCTTCAGTCCTATATAATCATTTGGATTATTTTCATACAACAAAATTATTTTCAGATCCGTATCTAGCTAAATTTTTAAGGTACCACAGCAAATTCTTTCTTTCGCCTCCGGTATTCCATCTCTTCAGAATCGACCAGATTTAGCCTTATATCGAGATACTTTTTAGTCAACTCACAATTTAGCCTTGTACAATCCAGCGCCAAGGACTCCGGCACCCAGAGCTCCGGCACCCAAGGCTCCGGCGCCCAAGGCTCCAGCACCCAAGGCTCCGGCACCGAGGAGGGCACCACCTAAAAGAGCTTTTCCCAGAAGAATCGGTGCTCTTTTATTACGCGGCTGCGTCTCGGCCACCTCGCTCGATACCGCTTCTGGTATCGCCGACGCGACTTCCGATGACGCGGGTGCCACCAACGTCCGCTGCGGGTCCTGGCTGACCGAGTCGGACTCCACTTGAGCGTAGATTACAGCCAGCACGGCGGCTAGCACCACGATGCACTTCATCGTTATCTGAAAAGAGACGGAAATTTTTTAAATGAAATAATTCAGAGCGATCTAAAGTCCAAGATTATCTTTTCAGAAAAAATATCAATCGAATAAGCATACTGTTAACGAAGAGTTAAAATACAATGTTTTTAATTCCCTAACAGGTGTGGCTGTTACATTGTATATTCATCAATTTTAACATCATATTTGGCGCTTTTATTAATATACAAAACTTCACAATTATACATTGTGAACATATATTGTGAATTTGTGCGAAAAATTCGACATTTTTACATTTTACCACTCCATTATATGAATTTTATTATTCCGAATTAGTTTGTACTTTAGATTTATATTGAATTAACTAGATTTATTATTCAGCCACATAAATATTCCTACATTTTTATAAACGAATGAAGAAACATTGATTGTAAATGTAAACTTTTAATCGTTGAAGTTATATAATTTAATATTTCATTTAAAAAAGTATTATAAATCTTCACACTAAATTCTTTCGAAAATTGAACTGAAACTTTAACAAGAAGGTTAAACGAAATGAAATCAATCTACATATTCTATATTGTATTTGTACCATGGTAAAATATGTTAAAAAGCGATGTTTTAACTTTAAACAAATTTAAATATTGCGATATCATAAAGCACTACGAGATCATATATTTTATAGAATCATAAAATTACAGGGAATCATTTTAAATGAAGTAGAAACTTCATTTACACGAAACTCTTAAAGCTTTCTTGTTTGCGAGATACTCATAATTTAATATACAAGATGTTCCAAACCTAACCTAACCCTGACCTAGCCTAACTTAATCATCCTTTAGTGACAGATTCCTGAGATTATTTTGAGATAAAAATTCTAATGCCAAAATGCTATAATGATTTTTAAATGAGAAATGTTTAAAAAGTTGAGATAAATAAATTTTGTCTCAAGATTAGGTTACTTTAAGACGACAATTCTAATTCTAAAATGCTGAAAGTATAATGGTTTTTAAACGAGAAATGTTCAATTCAAAGTTGTGTGTGACAAATTTAAAATATATCTAAGCTGTCTGAAATTCGCGCGCTCAGGCATATCACATTGCACGATAATGAAGATATTTTTAAACGCATCAATTCAGACAACGCACGGAAAGAAAAATATAGCTACCGTAGCTAAAACTGCATCATGTGGCAACCAAATTTCAGTTGTAAAATATGAACAGCTAATATTTAGTTGGGATAGCTAAATATTTTGCTACTGTGCCTATTGTATTAGATGCGACAGCAAATATTAGCTACGGTAGCGAAAAAAATTTTCTTTCAGTGCGCATGCAAAATTATATATTTTTCGAGAATAGATTTAATATTCTTGAGAACACATTCACTACTGTGCAACGCGACATGCCTGAGCGCGCGAAGTTCAGACAACTATATGTGTCACACACAGCCTTTCATTAAAAAATTTTTACATTCTCGACACTTCAATATTAGGATTTTCGTCTCAAAATGATCTAATCTGCCGTTAACGGTTAGTACATTAGATCTGGAACATCTTGAATATTTCAGTTGTTACGTATAAGTGTACTAGTCACCGCTTATATGATTTTCCACTGCGTCCGAGAGATACAGAAATGAAACTTACGTTCTCCATTTTTCTGTCAATACTAAAATAAATTAAAAGTGCAACCTTATTCTGTATATCATACATTGTACATTTTACTTCCAGATAAAAATTCGTAATCAAACTTAATAAATTTAACACACCATACTTTTTCAACTTGACAACGAGAAGATTCGTTCTTCGAGAAGTCAAAGTTCGGTTTTCACTTCTGTATCCCCTCATTATTAGTATGGATGCGGCCGTGCAAATGCCGTACGTACCTTGTTGAGATCGCGTTTTCGGACGAAGACTGACTCTTCTCGGAACAGTAGGTCCAAAGACTTTTATACGACGAGATCGGACTCCACCGCCCCTACCACTACTTCTACCAAAAATCCCACGTTACACGTTCCTCACGTGTCCACGTCCTCCACCTGGGTACATCTCACACCAGATCTTTTCACGTGCCGCGAAAGGTTCCTCGAATTGATCGAGGACTCGTTTCCCTACGTGCTGACATTGAACCCAATCCAGTGACTCGACAGGAATTCCGAACGCAAAGTTGCCTGCCATCAACTTCCTCACGTCTGCTCAAGATTTGGGCGTCGCCCGTTTATTTCCAAGAGCCACGGGTGTCATGAACATTAATATATAATTTCCCCACTCGTCAATATAAATGTAATATAACATATATTGTGCACATAACAATTACAGCATATTAGTTGAATAGGAAATTATAATATTGATGTTACGTAACTGTTTATAGCTGGTGTTTATTAGGATTTTTTTAAGACTCTTCTTTAATACAATCAAGAACCAACAAACTATTTCGAAAAAAAAGTTACAAGTCATTAAATTTCACACTTTCAATATCTGTCACGTTAGTTTTTATTCTAAATATTGACGGGAATGGCAACAATGAGTTTTTAGATAGATAAATGGAAAAGTGAGCGAGTTCGTCAATTTCTTCATCCGTAAAGGAGGATGAGCCACGTTCACCGCGACCTTGGTATGAACAGGCGCGTCACCATCTCTTTGCGTAACGTATAATAAATGGTAGACGACAAAATTAACATAAGAATCTACACAGGGAATTCCGGATCCCGTCGAGAACATTGACTTTTTCCAATCTCTACCAATCTTTCCCATTTCTACGCGTACTTTTCTGTATCTCCGTTTCCACCTGGAAATGCCACGAATTAGCGTAACAGATCGAGGGAGAAGCACTAAAAAACAAAACTTAACACGATTTTTTTCGATACCCTCTTCATTAATTTAATGTCTCTTGTTTTTTTTTACCGGAACGAGATACGTAAATATCATGATCGTAGATCTAAAACCGTTTTGTCACGAATCAATCGTGGCAAATATTTTATTTTCGAAATTTATTTTTTAGTTTTGTTATTATTTTTATCTTTTTGTACTCTTAGTAGCTGCTAAGAGTTTCTTTGCAAAATGGCAATTGCACACGACATGTTTTTGTATGTGAAGAAAAACTTTCCCGGTCAAAAATGATTAGTCGAATCGACGCCAATTCGTCATCAGATGCGTCGATGTACAGTCAATGTCGAATACTGATTGATATTTTTGTTATCTTTGATCTCATTGCAATTGTCTTTATGTTAATTGAATAATTATGAATATTTTAATAAAATTTCTATATCTTTCTTCCAATTCTACATCAAATATCGTATAAATTATATATATTGTATATAGTACATTATATATACAATGATTAACCTTATAATCGACCATGACTAGCGATGTGTTTTTAGCACAGAAAATTTATTGCGAAAAATATTACCTCAGCCAGGATTTGAACCTGGGGGTCCTAGGGGGGACCTAGGGAGGTCCTGGTTCAAACCCTGGCTGAGGTAATATTTTTCGCAATAAATTTTCTGTGTTAAAAACACATCGCCAGTCATGGTCGATTAGAAGCTTAATCATTGCTAGTCATTTGCTGGCGTCAAATAATTCTTGATGTTATTATATACAGGTGTACACACCAGTAAAAATATTTTACTGAAAATATAATAACATTTTGCTGAAATATATTTGAAAATCTCTCAATTAACCTAGTTTTATTATTATTTTATTAATATAACAAAATAAGAAACACTTTTCGGAAACTAAAATTCGAAAGTTATAATGGGACACCCTTGAATTCGAATTGAATCGAATCGAATCATTGAAGATGTGATTTAATTCGTTTTCTCATCAAAGAAATTTGAATTCGAATAATATTCGACTCGCAATCTGTCTGTATAAAATGTAGCTGAAAAAGTACCATTGTAAATGTTCTATTATTACGCGTAATACTAACCATAAACATTTGATCGTACAGTAACAAGTTTTATATTTACATTGCAACATTAAAATTAATATCTTTTATTAAGAGTGCGTGAATACATTATACCTTTTTTAAATTATGTAAATCGTGATATGTATAATGTGACCTTGTCTCGATAATGATCCGTTCGCGGTAACAGAAAGATGCTAATTATACCACCGTTTAATTATACATACATAATCGTAAAATTGCCTAACTTTCGTCTCTTCCATTGCCAATTGGCTATTTTTGTAAAATCATTGATCAGTCGTTGATTGAATGCAATAAATCTAACTCTATCAAAATATTAGCCTGACATTGTAACAATATTACAGGCTCGCCTGGTAATAGTTATAACCACAGTTTTTTACAGTATACATATATGTAAATTAAACACGAATATGTAAATTTTTAAAAAACGATTTTGCAATTACTTTAACTATTTCTTGCTCAGAAAATCAAGAGATTTCTTCATTTTTTAAAAATAAATCTCAAGTTAGAAAAATATTCCGTTAAAATATTATATTTCTCAAACTATTAACTAATTAGTTTTGTGCATATCCATATATAATCATTTATCATGTTCAAGAAATTATACCTTTTGGTAATGTTTGCACCGAGTGACATATGTATGTCTGTATGTATGTACTATAATCAAATTTCGTATAAAAGAAAATCACGAAAAACACATACATCTCGCATAGATAATTTAGCCTACAAATTTTTAATTGATGCGTGTACAACTTATTAATCACGACACAGTTTAAAAAATGCGGCCAGCAGTAAGTAAGACCGATATGCGCGCAGCAAGAATGATTTTACTGAAGTATCTAAAAATTAAATAGCTAAAAAAATTAATTAAAATTAATTAGCTAAATATTTTTACCTAAATACTAAAAATAATTTTGTTGCGCCATCAAAACACGATAAAAATTGTTCTGTAAACAGTTTTAAGATTCTAGCAACCAGCTCGAAGTCCTACATATTTAATTATTTTGATAGTCTGAGTATCCTAGCGATATCTGAACAGTCCTTATGCAATATTGCATCTGATATTTAGATATCGTTCCAGATACCATTTTGACATGTTTTAGCGTGGGAATTTTTATATCTCTTGAAAAGTCTTTTTATGTAGAAAAATAATAGTTAACTTAACTACACTGATACGTATATAGATATCAACATTAATCACGAAATTAATTGAGTGCGAGAATTTCATTGCAATTAGATAGAATTAAAATAATGATTGAAAAATTTTATCGTTTCATATTTAATGTTAATAGCAATTTAAATATTTCTTTTATTACAAAAATATGTCTTCTATGTAATGATACATAAAAAAAATGTTTTTATCATATAATACATATTTTTACAAATACATTAAAGATACCGGCTTCAAATGCGGCAAAAGGAAAGAGCGTGATTATAAGTGAGGAAGTACAATGGAGGAACAAAAATCAAAAGCAATATGAAGCCGAGGAACACGCTCAGATGTTGCGAAAAGAGCGTTTAATGCGCGAGATTGAGCTGGGTACTCTAAGTACAATGCGTTACCGGACATTATGGCAAGAGAAGATGATGAGGATCCAAATGCCACGGATCGCCGAAGACGTGGAGATCGCGTGGCGCAATTTTGACCGAGCTCTCGATATCAAGGACTACAGGTCGCCTTGTGTGTCGCGTTAAATTAAATTGTCCAATCGGCCAACTAGTTTATGTTGTGCATTCAGAGAGTTTTATATCGCGGCCGAATAAGAATTGAATAATACTTAAAGAATATTTCATCCTTGAGGAGAGATTTTCCTCCGGAGATCCTTCGTATCATAGATTACTTCACTGCATGTATCGCACCTGTTCTGTATTGTTGGAAGTAGTATTTTCTGTATGTATTTTATGCTATGTATTTATCTTATTTTTGGAAACGAAAATAGTCGAAGAATCTAAACACATTAATAACCAATATGTTAGTCTTCGAACAAGTCTTACAACAAAAAAAGGTCCGCATTTTAATATGATTAGTCGATGAGAATTTGAATATTTTGCTGTAGGATAAATTTGCATATCCTTAAAAAAATTTTTATGGCTATTCGACCTTTTCCAGAATAAGTTTTTTGATGGACGAGGTGGCCGAGGCCGAAGAACAATATCAAAAGAATACAAGATCGCATATTGAAATGATAGATCGATTATTGAGGTCGTATACACAGAGAATGGAGTGCGAGGAAAACAATTATCGAAAGGCCTTAAACGAGGCGCTTGCGCAGACGGATACTGGAATTAACAAAATCTACTATCAGCAAAACGAGATCGAAATTTCGTTACAAGCAATTACTCATGGCATTCAGCAACAGTTGGAAGAATCATTGAACAATGTTAAAAGCATTACATTAAGTATTAATCTTGCACAATTTTATATTATTAAAGTTTCAATTCTATGTAATAAATTCGAATTGCTCGCTTTTAACTTTATATAATAACTACAATACTATAAATAGCTTAAAATGTGGAATTTATTTAACTTCCCTGATAGGAAAATATTTATGAAATTATATAATAAAATCTGCCATGAAAGTTCTAGTCTACAATTATGTGGGTATATTTAAAAAAAATAGATGTAGATATTGATTTTTTATAAAACATTAATAGTTGTTTGTGCAATTAATTTATAACAATTTTAAGACAAAATTTTCTCCGTGTAGCGTTTTAATATTATCGAACTGAAATACGGGATTGTTGACACATCTTTATGCAAATTTTTATTTTAATTTTGAATTAATTCAGTTGATTTTGATGGAAATAATTAATATCTCGTAAGGTAAAATTGATGCATTTATGGAGGATAGTAAAGATATACGGAGAATTTGTGCGGCACAACTTGAAAATCAGTTGCAAGGCTCTTGGGAAAATCTTCGACAAATTCTGTCAAATTACCAAAATAGTAAGGAAATATCTATTATTTTTAATAGTGTGCATTTGAATGTCTGTACATTTATAATGAATCTTGTTTACATTTAATACTAAATATTTTTTATTTTTTAAAAATATAATTAAAAAATGCAAATATACATGCAACTGCATGTCTATCAAATGCAAATTATTTTTATGTTGAGACTATATCCAATAGGCAAGCTAATATTGATCAATATGACATCATTCTAGAGACGAAGACTCGCAGAAAATGTTACGAGGCACTCAAAGACAAGGACGAGAAAGACCAGCAAGTGATAGCGCAACAATTATTACGTACAGCGAGTCTTTTCGAAAAAATACGAAAGTTTCGAAGTAAAATAACAACATTTGATGTACTGACCAAGACAGAAATCTCCGAAATTCTGACGGAACACGACTTCTTCCAGAAAGCTTTTTGGATCGTGAAAAATCGTCTCCTCTCAGGTGTGCAATATTGTCATTTCCTTAATGGTTTAAGCTTCAGTGACAATTTGTAAAAATTCATTTATACCTCGTAATCTCTAAATGTATAAAAATAAATCGCTGCACAATAACGATATTATTATATCTTTTATACTCTATTAAATCACAATCATCATAATTATTAACAATTACAGAGCAGATGCAAGACAAGAATCAATTAAAAATATTATCAATTGAATATAACAAGACGATAAAATATTTAAGGTGTCTTGTAGCTAAAGGCAAACGACTGCTCACGCTGATGCAAATCTGTCGCAAGTACGAAACACAGAGCGAGAAAGTAATCCCGTTCGCCGATCATATGGCGCCGGAAAATGTGCAGACTCCTCCGCCGCACCAAACATTTTCCTCGCTAGATTGGAGTGTGTCCTGCCAGGTATATATTACATAATCTATTAGAGATCAATTTTTAAAAAGAACGTATCCGCAATAGGTTGCAGAAGATTTTCAAGATCTGACAAATTTTTGGCGACGACTTGGCCTCGTGCAAACGACTACTATGCAATTGCGATCGGAGAAGGATAAATTGAAGGCTGAGGCGAGTTACTTACACGAGTGTATCAGTTGTTACATGATACAGAAGGGACGAGTGAATGAGTGAACGAGTCGCGTGCGTGTGAGAAACTCTCTCGCGAACGAAAGAGAGGGAGAGTGAAGGGGGGGGGGGGGGATGGGAGACAGTAAAACATATGGCAAAATAATTTAACAATTCCCGCCTGCGACAAATAATTCATATTTGTCACATTTTAGTATAGGTCTACATCACCACGCTGAATAATCACAATTTTTAAGTATAGTTTTCATTATATTTAAAATTTTATATGTAACTAAAACTGTAACATCATTGTTCTATAAATACCGGACTTCGGCGTTTTTTATTTTACTTACTCTTGTCAGCATTATATGCTATGATGTTTCATCGCTATTTGTATAAAATGTAACATTAAACAAGTAAAGTTTAATGTCAATATCAAATTTTATAGCCTAGATTTGCTTTAATGTGGGATTATAATTCCAATTTATCGATATCTGTAATCATTAACACTAATATCAAACAAACTGTATTCAATTATCGTGGACGTACGAATATTTGGACGGAGCATATTTCCGTGAAGGTTGAAGGTTGAAGCTTAATCAATTCAACCACTAAAAACATACGGTATTACGCAAGCTTTGCAAAGGGCAAGTTGGAACTGACTAGGAAGGAAGAACTTTGAATACTTAAAATTCTGTATGACTTTATCGTAAAGACTGGAAAAAAAATTTAATATCCTTTTATATATTACTAAGTGAAAAGTCTAGATGTATATGTGGCACGTAACTTTGAGTTGAAAGTATTCCAAATAAAATAAAAAATATACAGATGCCTTGTAAAATTGCAATACCAGACGTGAAAATAAATGAATTTTTATATTACGTTTTATATGCACGCGCGCATACGTATGTTAAATCTGACAAACTACGATAAGGGTACCTCGCTTCGTCCAAATTTCGTACGTATGTTAATTATTATTAAACAATTCAGGCCATAGATGATGATAAAGAGATGCATATAATAAACAAAGTAAATGAAATAAATGTTTCGTGATTTATATACATTTGTGACAAGTGAGAAAACAGCACGATACAATGTTTCTGTCACGTTAACAAGTTGAGTAGCCACTTCGAACTTTATTGATGGTAATCTTCAATTTATTATGCTCTTTGTATTGCAAGTGCAACTCGACTCAGAGTTGTCACAAAACGGAGAATGAGTTAACGTAGCGATTTGTGCCTGTTTGCTATCTGAGATAGCATTTTGTTACCAGCGAGGAATGTAACTACACCAAAGCCAAGAAGATATCGCAGCGTGACGAACATATTGAGCTTCAACCAGAAAATTCCGAACAGCACAAAGATACCTAAAAATAGATAATCAGTTATTTGTACAGGAACTTTTATCAATGTGGTGAATGGAATTTTTGTAGTGAATAGGGCTACAAATGTGACGGAAGAACACAATCACATTTGAGAAAAACATCACGACATAATATGCGCCCAAAGAAAACAGATTGACTACATATAACGTCACCTGTCAAGCAATTCGGGCAACATTTATACATATATTTTATTTTACCGCAGTATTTACAAATTATATTTATTAATTCATAAAAATATATACAGAAATGTAATAAGGTAAAAAAGAAAAATGTTTCAATTTGTCAAGATGGTCAAGATTATTTTTTAAAATAAAATTACGTAAATTTATGTTGACGTTTGGACACTTTTATAAAATATGAAATATCTTGTAAAATATTCTGAATGACTAATACTTTTATATATGTATATACAAATGTAAATGCCATTTTAATAAGATAAATTTCAATTTTAATCTTATTTTTCTAAAAATGTGCACTTTGTAGAAATCTTCAGTCTATTCATATATTAAATGCACTTTATCAGCAAATGGATATTTACCTCCTAATCCAAGGTGGAATATAATCGCGCTGAGAGACAAAGGGAAATTCGAGATATTGACGCCAAGTCGAATCCACAAAATTAACAACAGCAGAACCGGTGCCAAGCACAAGCCCGTGAATAAATTTGATACGAATGCTGGAGGTCTGCGTTCAGGCTCGCGGAACATGTGCTAAAATTTGAGAAATAACAAAGGTAAATCACGAGAAACGCCTCGGTGACAATTGCAATCCTTCAAATAGAAGTTGGTGTTCGTCAAAGCGTAGAAACTATTGCGCACAAATATTCCTTTACGAATATATTACACAAACTTTGACGGAATTATTTGCCAGTGTTTTGGAGGTGACAGAATTATCGAAGATTTTCTGCCACTAACGAGCACTGGCGTGCACCATGTATATACATAAATCTAGAAAAGAATTACCTTTATTTCCGGTTTGGTTGTATACACATTTGGTTTTTGTTTATAAGAGGCGCTCTTATCGACACCTTCCGTTGACGTCGGATCGGGAAATTTCAGAGTTACCGTGCCAATATTGAATCGGAACGGATTGCTAATCACAGCGTCACCAACAATCAACTCCATATTATATTCTCCACTCTGGTGACCGAAATTTGCAGCTGCTGTTCCGACCGGCTAAAACATTTACAAGATTTGAAGTATCGGAATGTATTCTCGTTATACAAAACTGTAGTTTTGGCGTATAAAGATGCGTGTTAAAAAATCAAAATAATATACAGTGTAAAATTACCATGTCAAACTTATAAACGTGAGCGGCATCGGGCTCAGCGACGAAAAATATTTCATGGCCTCGCTTATCGTCGGTAGATGTGGAAACGGATATAAGGCGCACAAAGGCTTGATGCACGCGCATCGGTTTCTTACTGGCGGAATCACGTAACAAAAATCGCATGACTAGCTTTTGCTGAGAATCAGCTTCTATTTTATGGTCAAGTTTGCCCGAGGGAGATTCTGTGTTTATTCTGGAAATTAAATAATCATTGCAAGAAACAAAGTAACGAATGTAGAATATCCTGTTTAAAAATGTAAAATTTAGCATACAGAAGCATCCTTGAATACAAAACAATGTAAGGAGATATTCCTTGTGTTCAATGAAGAAAATATCCTATAAATATATGTCTTGAAGTGCTTCGTTTTCTAAATAAACTGTCAAGACTGAGAAAAAAATTAAAATTTCAGAAATCTAAGAAAACATTTAGAGATATTTTACACTTTAAAATTTAAGTCTTTTACTTTAACTCGAAAATAACTAACCGAATTAAAAAATCACAAGAGGCAGTTTTTGTTTAATTCAACATTTCAAACAAATTGTTTAAAAATTGTTGAAAAACAAACAGTGACATATGATTCTTCCATTAAAAGCACTTAATATGATGTATGTAAATGTCGATTTTTTTTCTCTTCGAAGACCTCACGTATATTTTAAAAACAAAGTACTTTTAAGGCATACCGTTCGTAGGGCATTTTCTTCATAAAATAAGTCAAAGAATTTCCCCTTTCAGTTTTTGTATGTACTTAAAAATCACTCTGTATATAAAGTATCACGAATACGCGTTATAAGGTACACAAGTACCTCGTAAGTTTTGGTTGAGTGGTTTGATCGGCATCGCCAGTGCCGATCTCCAGATAGTCGAGGATTGCTTCAGACAAGACCTTCACTGTAATCGTATTAGTGACCGAAGCTGCGGTTACTAATATCTTGTAAAAACCGCGATCAGGTTTCACATTCATAAGATTCATCGTGAACAGAGTTCTGTGACAAACACAATATTATTTCACATTGAAATGTATTTCATTAAAATCCGAAATCCATCAAAATCCTAATCTAACTCATCAAGATTGGTTCTAACATCTCTTTTAATATTGTAGTTTTAATTAGTTAAATCGAAAATTCATAGAATATTGTAAATTTTTAAATAACAATCAGTGTAAATTCTACTCTTTGTAGATTCATAAATAATTAACAAGTAGCGATATTGACGAAAGGACTTTTGTTAGAACTAATTTTGACTAGCCTCGTCATATTTTGACTAACGTATAAAACAAATTAACAAGAGTATTGTGTGTTGAATTTCTTAACCTTGATTACGTTTATAAAAAAGAGTTAAAGGGATTATTCAACAATTATTGCTGTACCCCAAGGTATAGCCGGTATCAGCATACAGTAAAGCTGATCCAGTAAAGTATTGGGGATTGTACTCGGCACATAGCACTCACTTGTCTGTTGTAGACGGCTGCAAATTTTCGTTGCTAAGAATAACGACATCGTCTCCGACTCGTGTGGCGGACTTTGCAACAACTTTTGGCACAGTTGGTAACGCTTGGCCAAGAATGTCGCAAACTTTAACCGTGACTAACGGTTGCTTATTAGATATAATGATCCCTTCATCGATTAGAGCTATGCAAACGGGCTTTTCAGGACTGTCAACCGCCAAGGCAGTTAAGGCAGACAGCAAATTTGTAACACCCTTTGTCGTTTGCACGGAACGCCGCGAGAGAAGATAATTACCGAATTTCACAGTCTGTTGGAAATTCAACGGTGGCTTCTTTTTTAACGAAGTTGACAGTTTAAAGATACCGTTAACAAGGAAACCTATACATTTGTGTTTCACAATTAATTAGAATGTAGAATCTATTTGTAATTATAATATATGAAGACTGCAAAATATATACTTGTTATAGAAAGACCGCCTTCAAATTGCAGGTACTGGCCATCCACTTCATCCGCCTGTACTACAGCGTCTTCGATACGATCGAAAGCAAATGCAGCTGGTGTGCCTATATCTGCAGCAATGTGGAACACGTATCCCAAGCTAACAACATAAAAAAAACCTGGTTAACTTATATCCCCCATAATAGCGATCCGTAATTTTTAATATAAGATTCTGTTCAGTAAAATAACTGTTGTCTTCATATTTCACATCTAGAAGAACGAAAGTTTCCAGGACATCATTACAATTATCTTGTAACTTTATAATTGCTAATATGTAGTTAAAAAGTAACTTTTCTATAGGAAAGTCCCCTATTATGAGATAGGATCCTAATAAGAGATAGTGGGGTTTCTACTACATCGATAGACATCATCTGTTGGTTCCACTACGAGTGAAATCTGTTTAATAAAACATTCATTGTTAAATTGTGTAATAGTTAGGGTACGGAAGTAATGCGTTACTTGTAATGCCGTTATTACAAGTTACTCTTTTTGGTAACGGACTGAGAACGACGTTACTTTTTTTCTCTTGTAACTGTAACAAGTTACATTTTTACTCGGTAACGAGTGACGGTAATTAGTTACTTTTAAAAAGTAACTTTCCTATTCCTGGTAATAGTTGCGAAAAGAGATTTGAGATCGAATTTGGATGTTGAAAACCTGCTGTCTCATAATCGGGGACTTTCATCTACAATCTTGTGTATAACTCACTTCCATAGGCTGTCGTCTTTCCTTAAAGCTGCTTGAATTAATTTCACCAACTTATCGATTCTGGCAGAAGGTATCTCTTGTGACAAAGCCGTTAAACCACTTACTGCATAATACAAATCAGAAAGTGTAGAGGTATCCTTCTGTATAACATTTGTCAATACCTGTATAAATAAGATATTACTTAGATATTACATTGTGTTGCGTACAGATGCTATCTGTAATATTTATACTTTGTTCAGAAATAATCGCTATCTTCATTCTTTATGCAGTAGAACGAAAGTTATTATTGTAGACATCATTACACAAATACTGTAGATATCGTATTTCGATTACTAAAGTCAGCAAATACAATACCTTTGTCACGGAACTAGTAGAAAACTCTTGGCAGCCTCCAATAGCTTTCCACGTGGAGGCAAGATAAAATGCCGTCTCGGGCGTGATGTTTTCTCCATTGGATTTGACCAAGTACTTGCAGACGGTCTACGATAAGCACAAATGCTATTAATACGAAAATTCGAGATACCACTGGTTGCAATGAAGAAAAGTCAAACTCAGAAAGACTAATCAAAAATCATGGTATTTCAATGTAGCTGTTTTCATCACGATATAATATTTGTATAGATAATAATAGATAGATAATTTGTATCTTTGTAAAAAACAGAAATAATAGATAGATAAAATTTGTATAGACCTTTAGTCTTTAAACGGAACAGTTATACGAGAGAAAGAAAATTACGTTTGCTTCTTTCGATACAGGCTCTCCGAGCAGCTTGTATCCGCTGACTGCATAGTACACCGATGGTACATCGTCCAATTGAAATCCTGAATTGAGGATGTTCTTTAAACGCACTCTATTAGCCGTGGACAAGTAAGTACTTGTCGACTGCGTGACTTCTGAGGACACGGAATGTGAACATAATGCCACTAGTACCAGTGGTAGCGCAGCAGCTAAAAAGAAAAAGATATCGTTACGTGCTTCATAAGAACACAAATTAATATTTAATACATTCACCACCAGAGCTTGGTATCCCTCTTTAAAAGATATGGTTACAGATACAGCTACTATCTGCATCTTGTATCTATGTAAAAATTGGAGGAATTCAGGAAATGCGAATGTGAATCCATCCGTGATAGACGAACAACCGTTGACGGATAACTAATTTTTTCTTACATCAGGAATATATTCCATCAACTTGAATCTCTCAGGTTGTATTCACGCAACACTGTGCAAGCGTGCGTGCAACTACAAATCGTATTCCAAGCACGCCTTTTCGAAGACTCGAAACAGCACTCGATCATATCCGGCAAGATCAAGCGCGACGGCGTTGACTAAGGATAATCAAATTTATCATCGTGATCGTTCTGAGAACACATAATTTTACAACGACTCGCCGTTAAAACGAATTTACAAGTAATACAAGTCGGAATCGTGTAGAAACGTTCTGGACACGTGGCGCGAGGAATCGACCGCATTATTTCCAAGTACAAAGATCCGTATTCTTCTAATATTTCGCGCAACTTCAACTGTTCGTTGAAGAACGAACAACATTAAGAAACGCGAACGTTTTTCGCGTGATACTTACAGAGAATCATGTCGTAGCTGCTGATTGCCGAGCAATCCGGCCGCCACGTCTACCTCCGAACAAAATGGCTCTGCTTCCATTGCGCGTGTCAGGAAGAATGTACTACGGGCGCGGTAATATCGCTAGTGGCGCTAGTACGTACTTCCATACCGGAAGTCTTAAGCTGGGAGCACGCAGTCTACAGAGAGAAACCTGCGGCCGGTATTCATAATCGATTCTTAAAGCCTGTATCAGACTACGGATTGGGATTGGGATTAGATTGAAATTTGACCAATCAGAGTAAAA